CCGAGGAAACTGACCTTTGGTCGCCAAAGGTTAGTCTCCAGGCTCGAAAATGCAACTTTCCGATCTGATTCTTGGGGAGTTTTTTTAGTCTATCGGTAGTCACCTGGGATCTTTTACATTTGAATTAAAAGGCAGGTAGGTTCAGCTTATTTTCAGGAACATATTATATGAATATTTTTTAATTATTTTAGAACTATCATGGTAAAAATTAAATTAGTTTTTGAAGTTATTGAATTTCGTGCACTAAACTATTTTTTAAATGTTTTTACCGCTTCCTTAAGAATCATTTTTCGATAGTCCTTGTAAGTATATATGTACATCACTAGCTAACGCACACAATGACAAATCAAAATGTACGTCAATAATTTTTGCTGATTTTTTATTAATTGCTTGCTGGACTCACTGGATGCATTTTGTATTCAGGAAGCCCCCCCGAACTTCTTTTCGTGTCGTGTTGGTGGATAATGAATAGGTCGAACGTACGTCAAAGTGTCGTGCATCAAGCATTCTAGGTCGTGTGGATACTGGCTGTACAGCTAATGTAGTGCGTTCGCTCGCCTGCCAAAATTTAATGGCAGATGGCGAAAATATGACACGATTGATTAAATAATACTAATACTAATTCCATACGTGTGCCGACCAAAGAGAATATAATCAATGCGTTTAAGAGGCGGGATTTCCTTAGAAAAAGTAAATGTATTTATATGTACATTTAATATTTAACAAACAATGCTGACAATATAATAGTGTTGTAAAATGTCTATCCTCGAATAATTTTATCGATATAACGTTTATCGATATATTGTTTATCGATATTTTTATATAATATAAGTTAGATATCTATAGTGAATTATTTATGAGAAATATTTTTTTAAGGTGGGGTTTAATAAGTAAAAATGCCAATGAGGATAAAAAATTAATGTATTTTGCACACAGCAATTTGTAATTATATCTCTACAATATTAGGTATAAAAATATGTAAAAAGAAAATATAAAATAAAAAAATGCACTATTATACTAGTAATTATTTAAGTAAAAGTAAAAAAGTAGCGCAGTGGATAAGCGTTTGGCTGCGGCAATGCAGGATCGAGGGTTCGTTCTAGCACTGAACAAGAGTTTTTATACTGCAAAATAAATAGTCTGTGTCTGGATGTTTGTTTTCAACGTTAGGTTTTTTTAGTAGATAAATATTGAGTTTTTTAACACTGGTTGGATTAAATTGCTTTTAAGTGTAATAAATACTATGTACAAATCGCTAGGTTTCTTCACAGAGGTACCTATATACATACTACTCGCAGATATCGTTTACTAATAGTCGCTTTCAAAATGAGTGCTAATTATAGCTAATGTTTGTAGATGAATCAAAAAAAAAACTTTTATAACCAGATAATTACAAATAACTTTGAGTTTAGTTATAGTTATAATCGAATTATTACCAAAATGTGACTTTAGAGGGATATTATCTTTTGCTACATGTAAATGAAACCTAATTAACATCCACATAATTGTGGAATAGGATAAGGGTGACAAGCGAGCACACAGTCCACCTGATGGTAAGTGGTTGCTGTGGCCTATAAACATCTACATCTATCTTCGTTTGCCAATCAAAATGCAGATGCGTTGTTAGTCGTGAGGACTAAGATGGAATGCCTCTTTTCTGCCGACTTCCAAAAAGTAGACGGTACTCAATTCGACTGTATGTTTTTTTTATGTGTGTTACCTCATAACTTTTTACTGGGTGAACCGATTTCGATGATTCTTTTTTTATATGAAAGCTGATACTTCTCTTGTGGTCCCATATGAATTTGATCAAGGTCAATAATTTTTGAGTTATTCTTAATAAATTATATTGAAGTCGGCTGTAGAAATTTTTTAATTTTAATTTATTATCCAGTAAAAAGGATCTGCGGTTCTCTACATTCACCATATGAAACACAACAGCATTAAGCTGCTATTTTACACTGGTATTCTGTGAGAGTATGCTATATAACTATACAACTAATATAGCTGCAGCATGGCTTTACCAGTGATCAGCTCTACCTCTGATAGTGCGGCGTTGTCAAACTATGACAATCTCTTTTAAAACTCGTAGCTAGGCTCCGTAGAATAGACAAAGGCAGACTCGTAGCTAGGCTCGGTAGAATAGACAAAGACAGACTCGTAGCTAGGCTCCGTAGAATAGACAAAGACAGACTCGTAGCTAGGCTCCGTAGAATAACATGATCACAAATTAGATACACAGATATAAGAGTGGCAACGTCTTATGACTCCATTCAGTATGAGCATGATACTTCATCCAAGGTATTTACATTGGTACTTACTTACTTTGGCGTAATATATATATATATATATAATTCATATACATATATAAGTAAATACACACATTTATCTCAATAAATGTATATATAAATAACTATAAACATATAAAGTATGATGACTCAAATTTCTAGGCTACGGATATGCTCATATAGTTTTCTTTTAAAAACATTTTTGGCAGGTATTGTTCGCAGGTCAACAGGAAATTTGTTCCAGAAGGTAATGGATGTAACTGTGAAATAATATGACATAGACCCAGAATGGTGGAGAGGAGTAGACAGGAATAAACTGTGTAAAGAAGGGAGATCGAGAGAATAAGTGTCACTGCTACATAATAAAGGGGTGAGGAAGGATCATTAAGAACTGAAAATATATATAATATGGCCCCATTAAGAATTACAAGAATAAAGAATTTATCTTTTTGCCTTATTCAAAATTAAATTAGAAGAAGCGTTACAAGCAGGTTTATTGACCCCTTTTATGTAAATTGTATGGGCCCTATACACCATCGGCCATGATGGACGAATACTAGAGATCATGATCGTGTGGAGGGCATGATCGCCTATAATTGCCCATGATCGGTGATGATCGAGGGTAATGGGTGTTGTGTCAATTTTTGGGACAATCATCAAAGGAAGTTCGGCCATGATCGTCGATGCTCTATAAACTTACCTTGTTTTATTTCGGTTTATAGTTAACATCCACCTTTTTTGCTTCCTTTTTTCACCACTCTTTATATGTAGGTGTACATTTAAATAATGGTTATACATATAAACTAATTACTTAAATAAATACCTAGTTAAAACTGTTTCAACGTCCATCTCGGACAGATGAAAATACAAATATGTCGGATGCACGATTGTGTGGACAGCCGCGCAATGATTGAGACAATCATGCCCCATTCTGTGGTTGTCCATCATGGCCGATCGTGTATAGGCGGGGGTATATTCCATCTATGCATACATGCTTTCGTTATGTTAGTTTTGGCATGGACAACTAATATTGCGAAACTGAATTTCTCGTTAACGAAGCTGTATTGTAATATTATACATTATTTACTTATAAGCGAATAGCAGTTGTAGCGTACCTACACGTATGAAACACTTCTACATATACACATATATGTACGTACATATAAGAATACATTGCATTAATGATGGTCGTTAATGAAAGAGGTCGGTATTGATTTACGCTTATCGTTTACGGTAGCGCAGCTGTGACATCGGATTTTAGCTTTGTTCCGATGAATTCATTTACTAACTACGCTTTTGTATAACCTTTCTAAATATTTCGTGAAATTAAACAGAATTTGTATTATTTATATTTGTAGGTTAAACATATTTTTAGGTTTTAACAAAAGCAAGCAAAATGCATTGATTGCTGATTTTATTTTACTACTAGCGACCCCGGCTTCGTCTGGATTATATTTATCAAAGTAGCGTTAAGTATTTAAGATAATCAAAGACTATTTATTTTAACATTTTTCGGAATTACAAAAAAAATCTAGGTTTTCGAATAAAATATAGCCTAGATCCCGACTGACATTGTATTGTTATTTGTAAAGTTTTATCACAATCGGTTCAACGATGCTAAAGATTATCCCCGACAGACAGACAGAAAAAATTTCAAAAATGGTTATTTATGTCTTAATAACTCTCTGAACTTAAGAGAAGCTAGTTACTTTGATATTACAGACAGACACTTTATTTTTATTTATATGTATAAAGGAGAATGGGATTTTTGGGCCTGAAGTTAACTAAACCAGATTTTCAGCTATGAATTGTTTATATATACGCTTTCAAATGGTCCTACTTTCATCTTGTTAACACTTGGGCCCAACAATGTAAGGAGACGTATCCTTCTCCTTTACGTCCTGTAGTGTTAGCGTAAGGTAGTCCACTATCCTCTATCAGCCTCTATCAAAAAAGTCTTTGTTGTATTTCGATCTTTGGAAAGAGCTTGAGTAGGTAACTGAAATCTTATTTTTAAGTCAGCAATAAATTTTGATCTTCACCAGAGATTGAAAAAGGAACGGAAGTATTTATATAGATTACATATCATTGTTATTTATTATACCTATATAGAAATTTTCACTGAACCATTATTAGTATAATATTCAATTCATTATAAGCCCACTGTGAGACCCATAAACACTTGGTGGAAACACAGATATATAATAAACAATAGACTAAATTTAATAGTTAATGATTTTATTTGACAAAATATCTCTATTGAGATTGTTAAGCCGGAGCTCATAAACAATTATTTAAAAAAAAAATGGTCCAATTAAATTTTAATAATTATATCAAAGACCGCTTACATTATATGCTTCAAAAATACGGTATTTGGTTCACGTACGACACGTACATGTACGTATTGAACAGCAAAGCATTCTCCGAAAGGGAAAAAGTTTAAATGTAAGACTTCAATGTATTATAATAAATACTTTTCCCGCAATATATATTAAAGTACTTAAGTTTAATATATTTATATGTCTGTAGTGAAAACAAGCTTTAAATGGAATTACTAAGCGTTTATTGGAAATAATAAAAAGAGGTTCACATTTGTCTTGATAATGCAACTGTCAGCTTAAAACAATAAATATCACAAAGTAGTCTTTATAAGTAGTTGGAACTTTAAACACTACATTATAGTTATCAAAATTCTTATTTCTATTTAAATATTTATTCATGTTTTCCTTGTTTTATTTCATCTCCGACGATACTATGGACAGTTCCGTACTGCCGTCTAAGCCTTTCAGTGAATTCTGGGTCATCCCAGCCCCATAAATGGTGGGTTCCATCCCCGGTGCGTAATGTACGTTGTTTTATAATTTCAGGAGACACGGCTTTCAAATCGTAGGCCTGGCCGATCTAAAATGTTTTAACGTATTAAAATAAACTGCTATGCTATACTCTTATGTAAGTTATAGGCTTGTTAATAATTTTGACACCACATATTCTAAAATTTCGTTATTGCCTTAGAACATTGCTGCTTTTGCTTTTTAACTGTGCAGTAGCAGCGTAAAAATATCCGCTATCCCAAATCAACATGTAGATGTCGTAAGAGGCGACAGAGGGAGATAAAACAGCAGATGAGCAGCAGCTTCCTGATAACAACTCTATATAATAAAAATTGCGGTTGTCAAACCTACGAGACAATCAATAGAAGAGGACTAGGTTCAGCGTTTTTGATAGGCTGTTATGTTAAATGATTGCTGCTTTAATTGATAAAGAATCCTGAACTGTTTTTTTTTATAGAATAATGGTGATATATGAGCACACAATCCACCTGATGGTAAGTGGTTGTTGTGATCCATAGACATCTACATTTATCTTCGTTTGCGAAGTAAAATGCAGATGCGTTGTCAGCCGTGAGGACTAAGCTACCAGTGCCGCCATTTACCGTGGGTAAATCTTTGTTTTGATCAAAAGCACTTGGGCGCTAACATTCAGGTGGGAGAGGTAATACGATGCGTATAAAAAAAGTGGTTAATGACCCATCCTGTCCAAATATAGCCCACAGTAAACTAGGCGGATATATGAAGGAAAAGAAAACGTCTTGCGCTTTAGTCCGGCTAAGCTTGAACTTAGCTGTTTATCTTTTAATCGCTTATCATTTTATTATAATGTTGCAGAACCTTACCTTAGCCATTGCTTCAATGAACACAATAGTCGGCGTTAACATATTGATGATAGGGTGCTCATTGACACGGTAGTCCCAAGGGAACGTGTGGTGGTAGTTGTGGTAACCTTCCAAACAGATCATCCAAACTCCAATGTTTTCTCGAGGATTCAGTGACCTATTATAATATATATCAACATTTTATTAAATACCTTCCTCAGTGCTTCGTTATTATTTACCACATGAATATTTATTGTTTACAATTTACAGTAGTTTTTTTTGTAACTAAGTGGACAATTTTTAATTATCACAAGAGTTCATTAAGTATCAAAGAACTTCAGGTCGGTTGGTAGCCTGTCATTGTCACTTTATTTTTATAAAATTCCATTTATTTTCTCGGAACATCTCTATTTTCTAGCGACATTTAAGAAAAGTCATGGGGGACCAAGTATCTATAAAATGAATTGAATACTCTCTCCGGATAGCAATTTTTGGAACAATTCCAACCCGAAAATTGTCGTTAGGAAACACGACGTACGATAAAGAATTTTATTATGCGTATTATGAATTATACTATATTATAAGGCAGACATTATTGTGTTTGTAATGAATTGTGTTTTTTTTTAATTTCCTACGAAACAAATATATTTTTCTTTAATAGGAGGAACAAGTGAAAATAGTAAAATTATTATGTACTAGCTGTGCCCGCCACTTCGTTCGCATATAATTTTTTCGTCGTTTGTTTTAAAGCCGAATAAACACCCGCCTATTTTTATTTTTTAAACTAAACTACTGTGCCAACTACTGTTGTAAATTCGTTAGAAAACATACAAATCTATACGATCCTGTAAATACTGTTAAAAGAAATAATCGAACTCAAAATAAATTGAATATTCAATTCACAAAATTAAAATTATTCACAACAGGTCCCCATACGATGGTAATTAAAATATATAATAATGTTCCAAATAACTCAAAAATATTGACAGCACCAAGTCTTTTATAAAAAAATTAAAGTCATTCTTAATCGATAAAAGTTATTATAATTTAAGTGAATTCTTTATAGATGCAAATAAATAGTAAATGTATGTGTAATAATTTAAAAAAAAATTGATGTTAGACTAGCAAATGTTAAGAAATAAGATAGTTGGTATTTAGTATGTAGTAGTTAATATTTAGAATAATAATATAAATAACTACCCTCTTATAAATTGCTATGCCCCTACGGGGCGTCACTTGATGTATGATGTATTTCTTGTGGCATGCAAATTATATGATAAATAAAAAAAAATAACTCAAATAGTAATGGTATTTAGATATTAAAAATCAATCAAGTGGATGGATGATTCTAACACCGAGGGTACAATAATGTTAAACCGAGGGTACAATAAAAATACCTTATAAAAACATATTTAAAAAAGCTTATTAAGGAAGATAAGAATGAGAAGTAGAAACAGTAATAGCCTTTCGGTTTTCTACAGGATTTGATACATTTCGGAGAGTGAGCGCAAGAATTGCATAACTTATTTCCTCACTCTCCCTCACACACAACCAGATGCTTGGCCATTCTCCATCCTTTCGTTGTCGACCTACCACTTTTTCGTTTGGCATGCGTACTGCAAAAGTGTGAAATAAGGTGCCAGCACTATGTCTTTCCATCCAATCACAATGAAGTGTCTTCAAGGCAAGAGTGAATAGGCCTTTGTTAAGCTAATTAAATGCACTTTACCACTTTCGGTTTCATCATCAAATACCATCAGGTGGGATGGTAGTCAACCGGAGGCCCTCTTTACTGGAAACGAGGCATTCCATCTAAATCCTCAAGGGTGACAACGCATCTGGGTTTTGATTCTTAACGGAGGATAACAGTAGTTGTTTATCGGCTACAGCATCCACTTACCATCAGGCGGACTGTGTGCTCGTTTGTCACCTTTATATTGTAAAAATATTACATATTATATCATTATTAATATATAAAATTTATTTTTTTATGCCATAGTAAAAGTCGGTTAGGAAGATATCATCACTTAAGCACTAGGTTGCCGAGAGCATCGTTTTGTAAAGTCACCCCTACTATTAAGTTTGTCACTGGAGAAGTTTCTAGTGCGGAGAGGTGTTCAGAACAATAATTATTGTAACCTTATAACTAATGATAAACAATGATTGTAACTGACATTTTTTGTACTGTCACCTCCGTATAAAGGTTTGATATCATTAAGTGAAGCCGCACTTTGTGTATGGATATTCTAAAAAAGGATTTAGTACATACTTATTTTGATTAATCACGAAGATGTTCTGCTTCCGCTATGGTTTTATAATAATTTCAATAAATGAAAATATAATATAGTAGACTTTATGCTTTTGGTCAAAATGTATGTAAAAATTGCTTACTTGTCATAAGGTCTATATCCATATTTATGGGCGAAACTATTGACGCTCCACACGACATTGATACCAATGGTGTAGCGCAGGATGGTAGGTATGAAGAATGCGTTAAGCCAGCTTTCGTTCCAAAAGTACACGGGTATAACAGTCGGCAATACGAAACAAAGAATTGGCATCATCTTCAAGTAGTGCCTATTGATAAAACAAATATTTTGTATAAATCTGTATGAAAAATTTTATACGTGGTAGAGTCATGCTGCAGCTATATTAGTAGTATAGTTGTAGCGCGAATGGGTCGGCTCGACCGGGGAAGGACCACGCTCTCACAGAATACCAGCGTAAAATAGCAGTTTAACGCTGCTGTGTTTCGTATGGTGCGTGTAGAGAACCGAAGACCCTTTTTACTGGAAATGAGGCATTCCATCTTAGTCCTCACGGGTGACAACGCATCTGCATTTTGATTTGTTATAGAGGATAAATGTAGATGTCTATGGGCCGCAGTAACCACTTACCATCAGATGGACTGTGTGCTCGTTTGTCACCCTTATCCTATAAAAAAAATGCAAGAATGGAATTGGTCGATACTAGATTGAATTTTGTTTACCTAGTGGTGAAAATTTTCCGAAATTCTTTGGAATGACTATCGTTGTGATACTGGGTCAAAAAACTTATATAGTATTATCGATGGGGTTGTTATAAACTAATTTGTTTAATTCCGCGTAAAAAAAGAAAATGATGTGTCCTGCCCAGTTTTAAGGGGACCTTCTTTACGCGGAATTAAGCAAATTAGTTTATAACAACCCCATTATAATGGATTTCCGCAAAGTAACGCCTGATTCTATCAAGTATTATCGATGTCAGTTTGAGGCCTATAAGGATTATTGTGCTCATTTAGTTTAACCTGTTTCATTCTCTTTAACCTCATTTCTTTTTACTCTACTTTGTTTTGTAATGATCACCACGTCTGGCAGGTTGATTGGCGATCGTAGACGCCTCGCGCCTTGGACGCTTATCCTCGTCGCTGGTCGGGGAATTTTACGTTAACAGGATGATTACATCGTAATCATCGATTAATTACAACCGAACAGGATTGTTTGTGGAGAAACTGTGGCAAAATTTGCTCAAATTTTTAAAAAAATTTGCGCAAAAATTTGAAAGTCCATAAATAAATTGATTACTATCTATGTTATAATATGTAAACTGTGTTAATAAACCATTTAACTCTTACCTCTTTTGGAACATGACTACAGGATCTTCATAAAGGTCAGTAAGATTTATCCTTTTTCCGCCTTCAATGACCTCAGGGCTTTTTTTGCAACAAAGCCAACCCATGTGAGAAAAGAACAACCCGCGTTCCGCATTATGGGGATCAGCATCCGTGTCCGCATACTTGTGATGTGTGCGGTGATCACGAGCCCATTCAAAGATGGAGTCCTGTTTAATATGAATTCAAGAAATAAATGTTAAATCTTAACATAAAAAAAAATTCTTCTCCATTTATAGTGTATTCTTACTCTATGCGACTTTGATTTTTTTATAGAATAAGGCCCTTATTCTATTGTCACCCTTATATTATTGAGAACACATTCTACCTGATGGTAAGTGGATGCTGTAGCCCATAAACATCTACATTTATCCTTGATTATGAATCAAAATGCAGATGCGTTGTCATCCCTAAGGACTAAGATGGAATTCCTCGTATCCAGTAAAAAGGGTCTCCGGTTCTCTACACTCACCATAACGCAGCAGCATTAAGCTGTTTACGCTGGTATTCTTTGAGAGCGTGGTCCTTCCCCGGTCGAGCCGACCCATTCGCGCTACAACTATACTACTAATATAGCTGCAGCATGGCTCTACCACGTACAAATTGATGTATTCGTCGGAAGTCTTGTGACAGAAACTGCTATGAGGTAGCTTAGTAGCAATTAATGCTGTGAAACTAATAACAAAATTAGAGAGCCAAGGTAATTATTACAGAAATTTAAGAAAAGTAACGACTATATTAAGTTCGTGAATATACTCGTACCATCCCTGATTCCCAGCGGTTTCTTGAGTTATAAAAGCTTTTTAAAGTTTTATACAAAATGTTTTTGTTTATTTGTTGTTTCGTTTTGTTTTGTTTATTTAACTTGTGATTAAACATAGTTAATTTTTTTAGTTTTCAAATCGGTAGCAATGGTTTCTTTTATTTATGTGGTTAAAAGAAATACTGTAATTAGATAAATAATACAGAACACCTCACTGAATATAAGAATGTTATGAAAAACTTGCATTTAAACCAGTGTTTACTGTTTGTTATTCAAGCACACACACACCCACACAAAGAAAATAATACAAGAAGCGTAACACATACATATAATAGAATTACCACTGCATGCCGTAGATCCTAATTACAATACGAGATTTACGAAATTTTTGTACGAAATAAAAAACAGAAGTTGCACACGTTCTAATTATGATTGACATCTTCTTAACGTTACCTGGTAAAATAGTCAGGAAAGTCAGAACTAAGCGGTTTATTCGCTCGATCAAGAAATAGCTACTGTCACAAAATCATCATAATAATCATATATCCCTAAATAATGCCATAAACATATTTCCAAGCCAGAATATACAGAAACACTGAATACCAGCATAAAAAATTGGCATAACCTGCTGTGTTTCGTATGGTCAGTGTGGAAAATCGGATAATAACCCTTTGAATTGTATCCTCCAGATCGTATTTCGGCCACGGCGGCCAGGCTCAATGAAGATTAGCCATCTACGCAGGATAATGCACGAGTTTGTGCGCAAGCACATGTGTGCACAATGCTTAAAATTTTTAATTTTATTAAAAACTAGTGATCCGCCCTTGCATCGCCTGGGTGGATCTTTATATGATGCGTCATTTAGTCATTCTATAAATTTATACTTTTCATAAAAAAAATTCAAGTTTTTCGGATAAAATATGGATTAGAGAATTAATCTCTCCTAGTATTGCTCTCTATCTCTTTGTGAAGTTTCATCACAATCGGTTCAGCCATTTAGTAGATGGATAAACAGATCTGGATTGACATTACAAACAGACACTTCAACATTATTTATATCTATAGATGTATAGATGTTCAAAATTTTTCTATTAAATTAAACTAGTTTTTTTTTTTACGGATTTTAATGTGTTTTATTATTCAATGTGTAGTTTTCACGTAAACAAGACAAATCATTATGTAATTGTTGCTATTAAAAGTGTCAAAGACTTAATACAAAGTTCTAGTATATAAAATAATATATAAAAATAGATAAGTTGTGTTACATGAGTACTTGTGACCATTAATGTTAATTACTAAGCTTTTGCTTTTAATCTTGCTCCAAAACCTTTCCACTCTTTAGTTTACATTTGCTTCAAAGTGAAAATGTTGAAAATGTTTGCTCTTATTTCAACTTTTAAATAATTTCACATTTAATTAATTTACGATTTCAACTGCATTGAGATTTTTAAAAAAATGCTTTCAGCGTGATGTAATTGACCAAGATGTGACCTAGTTTCACCATTTGCTGTTAAAATCGACGATAGAACATTATAAATTTTAAGCTCGCTGTTGAATGCTAAAGTTCTCTCAAATGCATTTTGATATCTAGCTTAATTTAGTTTTAAAACTGAAATAAGTTTTAATTTGCGGTTGAGTTAGTTTTTAGCATATGGTTTCAATTTTATTGAATGTTTTATAAAATATTTAATATTTTAAGAAATATGCATGGCAAACTATTATAAATTTTTTATCGAACTAAAATCATCTTAAAGCCCTACAAGTCGCGGTATAATGCCAACTACTACCTATCCTGCCTGGGAGCATTTTTTCATTCAAAGGCTAAGCTTAACATTGAACGAAAAAAAAAACTAGCCCTCTTGTTATTAACGACAAAACAGTCGTTAAGTAGTTATTAAAGTGTTATATATTATTTTAGTATTTTTCTATAAGGAAAGTGTTGGAAAGGGGAGGAACGCGAGGCGAGGAACTAGATAACGACATGATCTAGTTGTAGATTACTAGGTCATGTTGCCTTAATGGATGTAATATGCATTATAGTTTAAAGTTAAAAGTTACATTAAGAATTAAAAGTTACATTAGGATCTTGAATTAAAGATAGTAAAAGGGAGGATTTTGTCTATTTTAGATATTAAAATAATAATGAATGTACCAAATCGTGCTTCTTATATATGTATGTAAACTAAAACCTCTACTACTAGAAAAACCCGTGTTTACTGTCCAGTAGTGAACTATCTGCGAGTTTTTCATGATGTTTATGACAAATGGTTTATGCAAAATTATATCATTTTAAAATATGATATAGAATATCGTATAAATGTTTTACTACATAACAATTACAGAAATATTTTTACTGGGACTTAGGTAAACTATTGCAATAAGGTTGCAAATACATTGACGGTAGAAAGCCTTTGAGGTTTATTGAATAAAACTACTTTTACGGATTTACTTTCAATAGCCAAGGATGATACGTGAGGCTAATGAAATTAAAAAAACATCCTAATTTCAATAGAGAGGGAGGCTGGGTACTACCACCTGCTTGGGATCCTGTAATTAATAAAATTAAAACTAAACCCAAGCATACCACTGCAAGACTTCAAGACACAGTAAGTTCATTCTGCGTAGATCGGACCAAAATTAATAATTAAAAAAGATGAAGGTACTCCGGGCTAACTCTGGCATCGGGACGTCAATCACCTCAGTCCCCCGTACCATGGGTACTGTAAAGCACCCGAAACGTCGGAAATTAATAAAAATAAGAAAAATAAGTCCATTAAAACGCGATAAAATCTGTAAAAGTAGTTTTATTCAATGTGTAGTGTTCGCGTAAATATAAGAAATCATTATGTAAGTAAGCCTTTGAGGTTTGATTAAGACGTGTATACAAGTACGTATAAACTTACTTGGAAGCCCATTGTTTGCCAGATCATCAAGAGAATTCTTAACGGAGTTCGGGCTTTATAAGATCTGTGTGTCCATAGACGGTGAGATCCAGCCCCAATGCCTATTGCACACATAAGATGCACTGCGAATGCTGAAATATGTAAATAACATTAAAGAAAATTGGACTTAGAAATAATCTCACTTTGCTATTTATAATTCAATCATTTTCCCTTAATCAAGCTAATTAAAAAAATTAAAGTATTCTATGGCTCACTAGGAAACTAGGAAACTAAAAAATTGTGAGTTTCAATCTGGCGCTTGATTACTGGCGTTACCTGTTTCTAGTACAAGCATTTTCAGCTTAGATGGAGTGCTTGACAACACTAGTAATATTATGTCACACTCATTATTTATTAGATATGTCTGAGACAGCATTGTATACCAATAACTAAGAATGAGAAAGTCCCGTCGTATATTAAGGTTACATGGTCTAGTCTACGCAGTTTACAGCTGTCAAAGTTAACTAAGAAAATATCACCTTCATCATTTGTCTTCATGTAATAATAATTTGTGTCGTATTGTTTACCTTCAGTACCTAACTTGTGATCGATCGCCGGTACATACAAATTGTTTATTGCAATATTAATTGTTGATTTAACACTTGTTCGATGGCGAAGGAAAACATTGTGGGGATATCTACAAGTCAGAGAAGTCAAAAATATTTCGTGGACTTTATTTTGTAAACTACAACTAGAATAGGGTGTGTAAATAATATTACTGTAAAGAAGGCGTGTGGTACAGTGGAAAGTTTATATGAGGTGTGAATAGTGCACAGTCCTCAACGACAAATAACTCTTGGTAATACACGGGTATACTTTAAAGTATCATTATATATATATCATAATTGAGACACCCACTCCAAATTAGTCTATTTTTGTGTTCGTTTTTTACTTTTTTATTTATTCTTGTAACAACGTAAAGTTTTAATCATTAGAAACCTTCTGTTTATCTTTTGTTTTATATGTCTGTGACAGTTTGAGAAAATGTTTGCGTAAGTTATTTATAAAGCCCGGATTTTAACGTTCAAACACAAAAGTTCCATTTAGTCTTACGACCCTTTACTGTTAAATGGTTTAGATAATTAATTTTGAACAAAGGACCGGCGATATTCAATCGTTAATGTACAAGATTTACATATACTTCAACAAATTCAATTTTTCCCAACTTTCTTTTTATTGACCACCTAATTATATTGCACAATAAAATATTATGATTTAATATCATTCGTTGAATGGTAGCGGGCAAAACTTCGTTTATATTCTTCATAGCCTTTATGTCAATAGTCTGATGAATTAAAATTCCAGTCATAAATAAATACCATATGATAGTTTTCGAAGTCAAGGTTTTAATTTTTCTAGAATTTTCTGTCTCACCGACTTGAAAAGCTACTATGTGTAATTTTTTTATTCTTTTTAGATTTTGAAGTCGGTGTTATTTTTTATTAAAAGTTTAATTTTTTAATCTTTTTGAGTGAACTAATGAATATCACAATCCCGAGGTTTTATCTAGAATGACATCTAAGTAGTTACACCTAAAATTTTATTTCCTATTTTTTCACTATTAAGGTTGGAATTTTTGCTAGTAATCTCAGGCACCATCTCTGAAGTAGAAGCTAGTTTTTAATTAAAAGCTATCATTAAAATCAGTTTACAATTGATTTGTGGTTGGAGAATAAATTCCTACTTGTAAAGTTCGTAAATTAGGGAATGAAGTTTAGAGGACATTGATATTGTTATATTCCTTATAAAGTCCACTAAAAAGGGTAAAAAAATCGGACTTTCAGGAACTAAATAAAATAATAACTTCACATTCTGAAATCGGGGCTATAATTATAAAGGCTTATTTTAATTTAAGACCTTTACTTACTTCTTCAAGTACGAGTTCTCTTTATGATCTTAATTATTCTAAACTCAACCATGCCTAATTCTCGTTAAGACCCTAATAAATATTTTTATGCTAATATAAAAAAAAATTATATGGATTTGGCACTATCGACAAACCTGTGGTTTTTATCGGTACTATTTATGTAGGTATTGTATTAACTTTTGACTTGTATTAATTTTGTAGAGATAAAAAAAAACATCTATACATCTTAATACCTACTTCAGAATGTAAAATCATTTTATTTTTTGTCCTTTGAAGTCAGCTTTTACTTTTTATTACCTGTCTGTCCCACAAAGAGGGTAATGTTTTTCAAGTGTATGGACGGCTTGATGGTTTTAACATAATACCATATTAATAACATAAAGGTTGTCGTCAAATTCGTCTTAGTTTTGGAAGTGACATAGGGTATAATATTTGAATAATTCTCTTTTCAGTAAACTGTTTTATGTAGTCGGGTATATTCAATTGCTGTTTTACTTGTTAAACGTTACTATTTTCCCGAATTTACTACGTAATAATTTTTGTGTTATTAATTTTCATGTGTTACAACTTATCAAAGAAGTTGAGTGTAAGAAAACCAATCATCCCATTTCATTCCGCAGCTGTTGTAATAGGCGTTTATGATAAACTCCAGAAAGGTCATGGCTTCCGTTATATGGTAAGTTAAACATCTCGTTTACCGAGATGGGTGACAGAGAGTAGCGCCGCAACTGCAAGCCGTCTGATACGGTAATTACCAAGGACTCTTCAGCGTTGATTAAGAAGAAGGAAAAAGATGATTAGATACCGTTACCGTTACAACCTATTAAAGTCCACTGCTGAACATAGGCCTGCCTTACAGATAGCCTCATAGGGGGGATATTTTCCATAGTTGCCACGCTTCGCATACGGGTTTTTTGTAGTTGTTATTAAGAAGACGCTGCTGCTCATCTCTTGATTTGTTTCCCTCTGTCGCCTTTTAAAATACCAACGGATTGATATGGGGTAGGAATTATTCATACACCGCTGTTACACGACATGATTAGATAGGTGGATTTTAATTTTCCAAGCAATATAGGTAATATCACTTTATGAGCGAAATAAAACTCACCGAAAACATTTGTCTGCCATTTTGCTGAAGTGAACGCTAAATATAATCCATACACGGAGCTTATATGTAGAAATAGGAACCAGATGATATTGGTCCAAACATATTCATGCTTTTTTGGTGTGGCTTTCTTTAGTTTAGAAACGTCTTTTGCTAGACCCAAGTCCGAAGTCTGGGTATCCGTTTCGAAGACCACACCACTCGGTATTGGGTCTACGTTAGGTGGCATTTTCCTGTAAAATATGTATATGAGTGGAATATTGCAGATAATATATGAAATATAACGTTGTTTTTTTTATAACTATGCTTAGCCGGTGCTGGACAATTATCTCTCACTTGCTGGTATTTTTTTTAGCTTTTAACAAAGCCTATCTAATCTTGCCCTGAAGGTATCTAGGTAAAACTATAAACATCCAGTACTTATGTACGGGGTTGGGAGATGGATGTAGGGAGGGAGGACGTGCAGGGATATATATTAATATATACTATAAACTTATATATACCTAGTCAGGTCATAAGTATTGTCACACAGTAAAAACTTTTCTTTTAGAATGCTGGCCACAAAAAAGTTTAGAGAATTCGAATTTGGAATTGTTCATGAAAATAAAACTTTATACTTTTTAGAATTTTATTCATTTTGAAATATGGACTGGACGCTTAAAGAAGATCGTGTTGCAGTTATTGCGTTGCATCGTTGCTGTTACGCGCCAATTCTAATTTTTGACATACTGAAAAATTGGAATATAACCAAAAGATTCGTTTATCATACCATCAAACGATACAATGAAGACTCTAGTGTAGATGACAGGTCAAGAAGTGGTCGCCCTCGGTCTGTTAGGACTTCAGCAGTGATAAAAGCTGTGAAGGCGCGATTTCAAAGAAATCCCAAACGTAAGCAGCAACTGTTGGCCCTTCAGATGGGGTTAAGCAGAACCACGGTGAAAAGGGTGTTAAATGAAAACATAGGGCTTCGGGCATATCGAAGAAAAACAGGACATCGTTTGAATGCTCGTCTAATGGACCTGAGACTGAAGAGATGCCGCGCTTTGTTGAAACGGTACGCGGGAAAAAAATATCGGGAAATTCTTTTTTCGGATGAAAAAATTTTTACCGTAGAAGAGAGCTACAACAAACAAAATGATAAGGTGTACGCACACAGTAGTGAAGAAGCGAGCAACCGTATTCCGCGTGTCCAACGAGGTCATTTTCCACCTCGCTCATGGTATGGTTGGGAGTTTCTTATTGGGGCTTAACAGAGGTACATTTTTGTGAGAAAGGTGTAAAAACGTATGCAGTTGTGTATCAAAATACAGTCGTGATGAACCTTGTGGAACCTGTTTCTCATACCATGTTCAATAACAGGCACTGGGTATTCCAACAAGATTCGGCGCCAGCTCATAGAGCGAAGAGCACACAAGACTGGCTGGCGCCGCGCGTGAAATCGACTTCATCCGGCACGAAGACTGGTCCTCCTCCAGTCCAGATTTGAACCGTTAGATTACAAGATATGGCAACACTTGGAGGAAAAGGCGTGCTCAAAGCCACATCCCAATTTGGAGTCACTCAAGACATCCTTGATTAAGTCAGCCGCGGATATTGACATGGAACTCGTTCGTGCTGCGATAGACGACTGGCCGCGCAGATTGAAGGCCTGTATTCAAAATCACGGAGGTCATTTTGAATAAACTTTAGTGTCATAAGAATCTATGTTTTGTTAAGTTCATTTTAGTATATAAATGGTTACATAATGAATAAACTTGTTTCAATTATTTTATATTAAACATGTGACAGAATTTATGACTTGACTAGGTCATAATATGATATATATATAAGTTTTAAAACTATAGTTTGTTGAAATAAATAAAATAAAAATTGTATTAAAAAGTACTTAACTTACCTTGGATAACACACAAACTAACTTAATTCTAAGTACATGCTTCTATTTATACGTAAATTGAAACAATCGATAGTTAATTTGAATTTTTAATTGCATTGAAGTGATCTCGATGTTGAAATGCATTAGTTACAAACGGCAAATTGTGTTGTAATTAGAGTATACACGACTTTAAATAATACACGACCTTTAAATGAGGTGACCTCTTAAGTTGTTTTCTTTGAATAGTATTTTAAATGTCCATTGATTTTTTATGCAGGGTTTTGGAGGCAAATATCAAAAGTCCGTTTATCATGTGGCATATATCTAAATGGTCTCATTCGTTTGTTTAGTAAGCACAAGCAAATTCTTAATTGATAATGTTTATAAATTAAACAACATATATGTGTAAATAAGTTAGTTTTTTCTCTTGTGGCTCTACCCACAGCTCTCACCACACTACCAAAGCTGAGAGAGAATGCCTTTTCGGTATTAAGTTCGCATTTTTACCAATTCTTTTTTTTGTTTTAGTGCAATAAAGAATTTTCTATCTATATATCTAACGAATGTCGAAGTATACGACAATGTCGGATAAAATACAGTTTCAAGCCGGTATTCCGTGCATCTGGGCCTTGTAATTTCCGCTGTAACATCCGAAAGACGTCCGTATCCATTAGTGTAGGAATGAATACGATACATGCTTACATATGTGTGCAGCTTCTAAACTTGTAGATAATTTGAAAATTATAAACTGTATATTTATGTTATAATGCATAAACAAAAATGTTTTTTTGTTTACTTATTGCATTGCATTGCATATAAATAAGCTGTTCTATGATCGTTAGTTAAGAATATTGAAATAAAAACACATATTATTTACCCAAATTCTAGATTATAACTTTAAAAAAATGCATTGTTGATGAAGTTCCTTTTCGTCGTGTTGTGGGGTTAGGATGATAAGTATAAAAGACCTATTAATAAACAATGTGACTTATGTTTATAAATTATTTACAAGTAAACTGAATAAAGTAAATCTTTGATCTACTAGGTATTGATATTTATAAAAAGCATGAATATTTTTTTGTTCCCAAACATTAATTTTTTTTAAAATATAAGTATGTATTATTTTACAATATACAGACACAATTTTATTAAAATTTAAGCTTATGAGACGAAAACTTATTTCATTACTTATATTAAAGCTAGGAAATAAAAAGGTAAAAGCAAAATAGATTTTCGGTAATACACAACACTACACAAACACTCATGCCTGTCACCTAGAGGGGTAGGCAGAGACTACGGACTTCCATTTGGCGCATCATCATCCTGACACACCTCTCTTGGCTCCTTTACATCCATATATCTACGCATACACGCTCGTTGGTTAAGGGTACTCCTAATCTAGCCCATTTTCAATGTATCTCCGATTTGGTTGATAAATATTCGTCTAGGGCGTCCCTTCCCGACTCTGCTGTTCACTTCTGAAACATAAATTTGCTTTGTCACTCTTTCCTAGTTCATTCTTTCTACATGACCAAACCACCGAAGCATTCCTTTTTTAATCCTGGTCACAACGTCATCTTGCAAACCACACTTTTCTCTTATCACACTATTTCTCACCCTGTCATTCAGATTCAGCCCTAGCATACTTCTTAATGACCGCATTTCTACAACATTTATTCTACTCTCATGCTTTTTCTGCAAGACCCAAATTTCACTACCATACATTAAAGTAGGGACTAACACAGCATTATGAATTGCCATACATGCCTTCTTTGACACATTCTGACTCTTCATAATAGCGTGTAGAGCCCCATTCACTCTATTTCCTGCGTTCACTCGTCGTTCTATCTATCTATCATATCTACCATCCCTGCTAAATAAACATCCCAAATATACAAATTCATCCAATTGCTCAATCAACTCCCCTTCTATTCTTATTTCACATAACGTTTTACTATCTTCTCTTTCAAAAACCATCACTTTCGTCTTACTTGCATTCACTTTCATACCTCTTTCTTTTAATGACCAGTTCATTTAAGTAACCACCATTTGCAACTCGGCCGCCGACGATGCAAATATGACTTCACACATTCTTCAACTTTCAAAGTTTGCAAACAACTGTCCATAAATAGGTTAAACAGCCACGGAGAAGCTACACAGCCCTGTCTGACACCTTTTTGAATGCCAAACCAGTCCGAGTAGACCCCGTTGATCCTGACACAAGCACTAGAGTCCCTATAAAGAGACTTTAATGCCTGTATCAAACCAGCGCTCAACCCAAATGGGGTCAGTGTTTGCCATAACACGTTCCTGTCCACTCTGTCATAAGCCTTTTCCAAGTCCATGAAAGCACAAAAAACTTTCTGGTTTTTGGTCAAAAATTTCTCCGCAATTATGCGCATGGAAAAGACTTGATCCGTACACCCCATCCCCTTTCTAAATCCAGCTTGCACATCCCAAATTTTTCCATCAGTGTCTTCCATAATTTTTCAATCAACACCTTAGCATACAGTTTACCCACAATGCTAAGCAAGCTGATACCACGGTAGTTTTTACAGTCCTGTTGTGACCCCTTTCCCTTATATATTGGGACTATAACGGATTTGCACCAGTCTTCCGGTACCCGCTTCAGTTCCCAACATAAATTAAACAAGGTGTATAGCAGGCCTGCAACCACACTCTCTCCAGCCCTTAGCATTTCGAGTGATACTCTATCATATCCGGCTGTCTTACTTGCTTTCATGCTTTTCATTGCTTTCATTATTTCATCTACGCTTATCTACCTACCTCTCTCAACTTCTTTCCGAATTTCTATTTCACTAAATTTGGACGACTTTACACTCTTAAACACGCCTTCAAAGTATTCCTTCCATCTCTTTAAATTCGAAACTTCATCATTCAGCATGCAGCCATTTTCGTCTCGTATAGCATTAATTCTAGACTGTTTTGAATTTCCCCTGGCAGTTCTTACGAGTTTCTAGAACATTTTAATATTTGCCTAGAAGTTATCAGATATCCTTCTATCATTCTTATCTATCCTTTCTTGCTTTTTCCTTTCAACAACTTCTTTTACTTTCTTATTTATACGTCTAAAGTCTTCTTTTTTCTTTGAATCTCATCATTCATACCGCTAGAATTACCAGCTTTGGTTGCTAGTAAATCTAACCATGCTCTCTTCTTTGCTTCAACTTCCATCCGTACCTCATCATCCCACCACAACGTATTACTTTTCCTTTCATTCGTTCTCTTAGTTACATCACATACTTCGGTGGCTGTATCCACCAAAACTTTCTTAACATTATTCCATACATTCTTCAAGTCTAAATCATTCATACATAATTCATTCAACACAC